AAGATAAGGGAGCCAGGCATGGTGCCTCACACCTTTAATCTCAACCCTATGTGATCCTCATGGCTTCAAGCCCAGCCTGGGAAACTCAGTGAATTGATCATACTAGTGACACACAGCTTCAAATTAAAAAAAAAAAAAAAAAAAAAAAAAAAAAAAAAAAAAAAAGTAAGGCATGTGGCACCTGCCTGTAATGCCAGCACTCTGAAGACTGAGACAGAAAAATTGCCATGAGTTCTAGACTAGCCTGGGCTAAATCTTAAGTTCAAGGACTTAAGCCTTAAGTTCAAGCCCAAACTACATGATGAGAGAACATCTCAACACACAGCAATAGCAACAGCAACCAAAACAAAACACAACAATAACAAGCCAAACCAAGAAACAAAAAACAAGCTGCTACATGTTTAGCTCAGTGCAAAAATTAAGGGGTTGAAATTAATTAAATTTCAAATATGTCTATACATAATTAGCTAATATATCCTTGCATTTCTGCTTGCCAAGTAACCAATGATATAGGCAAATCTTCATTCAAGCTTTGTAGATTATAATGAAAGGAATTCTAATTAATGTTCCTTGATTTTTCATAATGAAAAAGATAATGTAGAAGTAATGTACTCTTGTTTTCTCCATAAATGTTGCAAGTGTTTGGGTAGTTTGGGTAGATAGTACGGAAAAGACAAAATCGTATGTGTTAAAAAGATTTAGTGTCTGATAGTTTATTCAACAGCTCATTCTTTCTTTTCCCCTCTTTCTTTATTTAGAAATCATGCATGATCATGCTTGCCTTTATTCCTTTCCTGCTTGGTCAGTAGGGATAAAAACACCTATTCCATGATAGTAATTTGTATCTTTTAAGAAAGCTAAAGTCGTCAAGTTCATAGCAAAGGTCATTAGGTTTAATGATCCATTTACTTTCAACTTTCCATAACACACAAATACACACACACAAACACACAAGCACACACACATACTTCCTTTATAGAAACAAAAGTCAAGAAAGTAAATTCAACAAAAAATTACTGAATCCTGCTAAAGTTAAGCAGAATTGTTGTATTTTTTGTGAGCAATTTTCCTTTTTATTAAAAAAAAATCTATAAACAGGATGTCTTTTCTCTCAATTCTAATCATTTGATGACTTCCTGGAAGAAGTTCCACAAGATGATGGAGGAAGTTCTTTGGTTCTAGAACTTTCCTCTGCTTGTGGATCTTTTTCATTTCTATTTTTGATGTCCAGTGGTTTTATTTTTTCCCACTCCTTTCCGTTGCACATCATGTTTCTGCTTTGAGAAAAATACTAAACTTTCAAAAACTACCATGCCAGTCTATTCATGAACTACAGTATATTGAATATGTTAGTTTTTCTGAAACTCTTTCATAAACAGTGTGATTATGGTGAGGTAAGTGTCTTTAATTTGCAGACAAGTAGACTCTGGGAAGGTTGTAATTTCATAAATGGTAAGCTGGTATTAAGCAGTAGGGACCCGGAAATCTTTTGGTCTTTGATACTTAATTTTAAATCTTGCTGAACACCAGACAACTGATTTGATAAAAGTATTATCATTCAATGGCGTGGGGTGAGTATATTATCCGTTAATGCCTTTAGAAAATAAGGCAATTACAAAGGTCTATTTTAGCTTAAGAGGTATCTTTTTTCTTTCAGCATCTGTCATTTCTGGACTATCATTTTAATCAGTATTGTTCATCTACTTCTCCAATTTTACCACCACATAACCCAGATACCACATGTAAGTATCAACATTTTTTTTTTCCTTACAACAATATTTATTGCTTAATTCATATTCAGGGGTGGTTTTGCCACAGTTTGCTCATTATTGTTATTATAAGGTTAATAAAATATTTCACCTTTTTTTCTTATATAAGTATTGTGAAACAAAATTTTTTAGATTCTGAAAAAGGTACTTCATGTCAACTGTAACCTGACACTCAACTGACATTTCCAACAAATTTTCCTCTGAAAGAAAGGCAGATTTCCACTGCTATTCAAATGGTGTTTTGTTTTGTTTTGCTTTGCTTTGCTTTGCTTTGTTTTTGTTTTTGTTTGGTTTGTTAATTTTTTCCTCCCCAGGTTTGTGTGGTTTGATTTGTTTGTTTTTTCTTCCCCACAACATAGGAAACCTCTTTATTACAGAATTTAGGGTCAGTGTTTATATATGAAGCAACACTATTGGATTAAAATTCAAAATAGTTCTAAATCCTATGGAGTGATTTATAAAATTGAAACTAAAAGGAGATAAATCTTTCTTGAATGAATTTGTCTCTGTCTAAAGGGAATGTAGTCAGTCATTATATTTAAAGTGTTTTCAGGATTTAAGCTATAACGAATTATAATATTATATAAAGTTATTTAAAAAAGAAAATGTGGAGACTTTTGCATAAATAAGATAATGACGCCTTCCAAGGTGCCTCAGCTCAGGCACTTTATTGATCCATTGACTTTTAGGCTTTTGTAACACACAGTTACACACAAACAAGTACACACACACACAAATTCCACTGACACAGTTCTTGAAATAATTAATTTTGTACAACCTATTTATCTCTGAAATTGAAGATTAAAGTTGAGAAAAAAAGAGTTTAGGACAGTGTTTATTAGAAATAATTAGAAAAACCTCTAACCCACAAAGAGAGGAATAAAGTCCAATACACGGTCTTGGCTGATTTTGATCATATATGTATATGCAGAGCTCAGAAAGGGAGTTCAATTTTAAAAGAGTTCCAAAAGAAAACTAATTATCTTGCATACATATTCTAGCCAATTCTGGGTACAGGAAGAGGTGTTAAAGGCTAATTTGCCATATTTTAGACTATAGTTTTCTTCTTGGAGGGAAGAGTCTTTATCACTACATTCTCATTTTAAGCCTCGTGTCACTAAATTTGGCTTACCTATCGGAGTTGTTTTTTAACCTGGTTGGGTTATTTCATTTTTAAGCTTGCATAACTCATTCATCTCATCCTACCTAAGACTTCTCTAACTACCTACTTATAATAAATAAACTAAATTACTACACAATTGCATAGCATATCTAAACTCTAGAGGGTTTCCACTGAGAAGGGAAGAGTTCTTACCCTTAACAGTTGAACTCCAGGACATTTTTTTTTTTGTAGGTATTTATAAGACAGAATCAAAACTTGTTATAAGATGCACACACAAATGAATTCTACTCATCTTCTCTAAAAGATGTGTATAGTCACTTTGTTATCTTATAACCTCCTCGCCTAAATCTAAAAATCTTCTGTAATATAGAGAAACTTTTCTCTTGAAATTTCAACTGTATACATGATTTTAAGTACAACACATTTGCTCTGGGAAAACCTACAGGAAGTGAATGAACTGGAAGAAGACATTGTTTAGATAGTCACATTTGCTGCCTAGACTCTTTTTCCATATCCTCAAGGCTTTACCATAATCTCAGTACTCACAGGGACTGAAAAATTCCTCTTTGCAAACTTGCTGGCTAGCTATCATTCTTATCAGTGTGCTGTAGTCTAAATAGATTTTTGTCTGTTGTACATGCTTATCTTTTGCTTATTTTTTCACTACCTGAGTTGATTTGACCTCTATATGTCATCTCATCCACAACCAACTAGGTAGTTCTTGATTTTGATTGTACATATTTTTGTTTTAAATTGCTTATTTTTTCTGAATTTATTATCTTAATATTCTTAATGTACTTAAATCTTCAAAAGCATTTTTTTTCTTTTGCACATCTTCTATTCCACTAAATAAATGTCCCATGGCAGTCATCTTTCAAATACACTAACTCTAAATTCATATTTCAAATTCCCCTGACTGTATCTGGAAGGATATTTTCTTCTTCATTTTTTTTAATGGCATCCATTGATGCACGAAATTATTCAATATTTCAATTTGGGAATGAATGTGCTCAAGATGACTAAAATTCTCTGCCATGAAGTTCCACTTGATAATAGATGCCAATAGCCAAGGGACAATTAATAGTGAAGTGTCTTATAGAAATTCATGTATAATTAACACAGGGTGACTGAAACAAGATTACTTCTGGGACAAGGCTCACAGGACAATTTCTAAATGTATCAAAATGGGATTGATTTTTAGAAGTGGACAGAAGACAAACACCTAATGGAAGATTTTTAAGCACATTGATCCAAAGAGCTTAGGGTGATATAGGAAATATAATACCTGATTTATTAGATGTCAAATGTACTGAGCTCACGGTCTTATATCATCAAGGAATGAATTCATTAACCAAAAAAAGAAATTGGAAGACTTTTATTGGAAATAAGGATAAGACGAATAGCTCCTGCATTTCTAAGAGGGGTCCTAAATAAGGGTCACTGAGGCCTTTTGTTAGGGGTAATTTATGCAACAAACTTACATCCTGGCTACAGGATAGTTCAAATTACAACCAATTTATAGAACTGTAAGTACTGCATAGCCAACTAGCCTGTATGGTTCCAACAGGAAAATGAGTCAGGCAGCAAAGGTACACGGAAAGAACAAAAGCATTTTTGGGTAGGAATGGGCCAGATGCTCTGGTCAGTCATCCGGGCATCTGATGCTTCTATGGGCCAAGTGTAGTAATTGCTGTACAATCCCGAGTGACAATGTATTCTTCAGGGAGGCATGCAAGACTGTCCATTGTGTCTCCACCCTGTGCCTGCAGCCACAGTCTTGAGGTCTATTTTTTGTGGTGACTTCTTTGATGAGACAATTACTTTCTGACTGATTATTAATTTTATCTGCCCGAATTGCTTATAATAAGGAACCTTGAAAAACATCACTGCTCTTGGTGTCTTTAAAGCGATTTAAATCAGAAATACTCAGATTTTTAGATTTTGGTCTGTTACTCTATGTTTGTAAAAGGAGTTTCAAGACTGTTGGTATCTGTTCTAATGTAAAGTACTGTAGAATATCACTGTAAACAGGCCCAAGTGCCAAGAAGCATTGAATTTTTTCCTCAATATATAATGCCAAAAATTAAAAAGCTAGTAATTGCGTGGCAATGATGTTTCTACGAAATCAGAGCACTTCACTTACCATCCATATTGTTTTCTGCAGGACTCAGAATCACCTACAGGAGGACAGATTATCAACCTCTATAAAACCCTGGAACATGTCCTATTTGAACCCCAGAATTGTAAACTTGATTGGCATTCCTGGACTAGAACACATTCAGTTTTGGATTGGGTTCCCTTTAATTGGGATGTGTCTAGTGGCACTTCTTGGAAACATCATTTTATTGATCATCATCCCTGTAGAACACAGCTTGCACCAGCCTATGTACATCTTCCTGGCTGTGTTAGCAGCCACTGACATAGGACTCTGTGCAGCCATTGCTCCCAAGATGTTTGCCATCTTCTGGTTTCAATCTTGTTCCATGGTGTTTGATGCTTGCCTCGTCCAGCTGTTCTTTATCCATGCCTTGCAAGGAATGGAGTCTGGCATTCTGTTGGCTATGGCCTTTGACCGCTACATTGCCATCTGTGACCCTCTGAGACACACGTCCATCCTCACACCTTCCATCCTGGGGCGTATGATGGGAGTAGTGGTGATCAGAACTGTCCTACTGGTTGGACTACTTCCCATTCTCATCAAAAGGCTGCATGTGTTCCACTCTGTGCGCATCGCCCACTGCTACTGTGAGCACATGGCTGTGGTCAAGCTGGCTGCAGAAGACGTCAGAGTCAACAAGATATGCGGTCTTTTTGTGGGATTCAGCATTCTGGGATTTGACATGATTTTTATCCTCATATCTTATGCCCTGATTCTTCAGGCTGTTTTTCGTCTCCACCAGAAGGAAGCAAGGCTCAAAGCATTTAACACGTGCACAGCTCATATTTTTGTTTTTCTTGAATTTTACATTCTTGCTTTCTTTTCCTTCTTTAGCCACCGTTTTGGAAATGTTGGTCCCTCAACGCACATTCTTCTGTCTACCATCTACCTCCTGCTGCCACCTGCTCTCAACCCTATTGTGTATGGGGTAAAAAATATGGTAATTCGTAAGCGTGTGGCCCAGATTTTTCTTTTGGGTCATGGGTCCCAGCAGTGATCTATTGAATGCTCTTGGCCAAATAGAAGACAATATTATTTTTAAGGACTGTGACAGTATGGAAGCTATGTGCTGTGCTATTTTGAGTCATCACTGTGGAACATGAGAACATTTATTTCCAAATTTGTTGCCCAATGGATATAAAAAGACTAGTCTCAATACTTAATGAGTCAGAATTCTTTATTTTCTCTTTACTTTCTTTTCAATTGATTTACAATATTTTTACATATCATTTTAAAACATTCTGTATTAATTTTTTAACTAACTTTGGACTATGTATATTTTCATTTATGAATTATTTATAATCACTTATTTTTCTGCATCTCATTTTTTCTATATTTTAAAACTTGTTTAATTTAAACTAAAGTCAGGGGCTGGGGCTTTAGCTCAATGGCATAAGCACCTGCCTTGCAAGCAGGCAGTTGTGAGTTCGAATTCTAGTACCAATAAAATAAATAATTAAATTAAATTAAACAAAAAAATAAATAAAACTAAGGTCAGTGTTATTTATGAATTCTGATCTATTTCATGAAGTACTGAGATACATGGTAACATACTTACAAATACTTAAGGGTTTAGGTAAATATTATTACTAAATTTAATTTAAAATTCATTGGTTTAAAGGAATACTTGCAGATGTATCTATAACTTCAGTAAGTTAGGATATGTGTTTTGGTTAATTATAACATTTCTCTTACATGTATTAGAAATTACTATGTGTAACTTACAATCTTATTCTGCTGCTTTCTATGTAAGTATATATATATAAAGCTGTGAGTAGTTTGTTTATACCTTAAGAAATAAAGAGTAGTAATGGTAATTCATAAGCATGTGGCCCAGATTTTTCTTCTGAATCATGGATCCCAGCAGTGATCTGTCAAATATTCATGCTCATCGAGAGGATTATATTATTTTTTTGAGATTATGCTAGTTTGGAGTCTGCATGGTTTATACTTGGGATTCTAAATCATCATGCTGGAACTTAAAGACATTTCTAAAATGATGCCCACGTTTACATAAATAGTATTTGGAGGAAGAATGGGCATTTTTTCTAATAAAATTCACTTCTAATCTATATTCCTTTTTAATTTCTTGAATTTAATTTGCATTTCCTTTTACTTAAAGAAACTTCAGTTTCTGATTATCCAACTAGTTCTTAACTTATTGAGATATGTGCTACTTTATTTCTAAAGATTTAAAGAGTTTTTGATGAACTTCGTTGTTAATTTCAAATTTATTTTTGTTACTATCAATGCATACTTTTAGAAGTTTAAAGGTTTGAATAAAGTTATGGCTTACTTTTGACCAATTATAACATCACCTTTACATGTTCTTAAAATTAATGTGCATTCTTTATTGGTATATTCTGAGATACACACACACACACACACACACACACACACACACATATATATATATATATATATATATATATATATATATATATATATACATATGACAGAGAGAACCTGTTTATTCCTGAAGAAGAGCAAGTTATAGAAAAATAAATTTTAATATATATATATATATATATATACATAAAGACAAATCTGATAAAGGTAATTATTGCATAGGAGTCAATTAAATACATGTCAAGTTATCAGGCAAAGGACAGAGAAAGTGAGAAAGAAAAGCATAAATAATTGACATAAAAAGTTATTTATAGAGGCAAATTTTAAGTATTGTTCATAAATGGAGCCAATAGAATCAACAATTTTAATAAAATGATTACAATTCTTGAAGGACATTAATTTCAAGCACTGAAAAATGCAAATATAAAATTAGAATTACTATAACACAGAATCCCTTAAAACTTACACACAACTGCAAGTTCCCTTTCCTTGAGAATTACACCTAACACTTAAGGAAAAACAGTACTCGCTATCAAAACCACTCTTTAAGAAAATGTGGGTGGTACAGTAGCTCCGAGTTCATTTTACCAGGAAAACAGTTTTGATTCTAAAATCTGTTAATTTTATTTAAAAATTATATCCATTATAAAAATATACAACAAAATGGCAACAGAATTTTAGCAAATAGAAAATAACATGACAACAACAACCATAAATAAAATCTATGTAGAAATAGAATTGTTTCATTTTTTGCAACTAACAATGTTAAATATGTGTTTGAAGACATAAAAATCTATGCAGGTATTCTAGTATATCTAAAATGTTAGCAAATTCAAGCTGACTTAAATGAAATTCAAGTCAGAGTCCATGATAAATCTTTTGCTAGACTTTTTAGGTAATGGTGAATGTTGAACCCTTTATGCCTAAATTAAGAAATAACTATTTTCAAACCATTTTATACATATTATGTTTGAGATAAAAACAAATGCACTAAGGCAAACAGATTAGTAAAAAGGCAAGAAGAAATAAACCTTTTCTGACTTCAAATAACAATTTCCTTAGTCACAGTGGAAGATTCAAAGGGTATAGGAATAGACAATAATATATTCTCTATTTGATCTAACCCACAGTGGTCATAAAAGTAAATGGAATTCAGTTTTAGTAAGAAGGATGTATCTTGGTACTATAATGCTAAGCCACATAAATCAGACACAGAAGATTAAAGGTTACAAGGTTTCTCATTCATGGGAAAATCCAACAATAAACTATTTAAAGAGCAAAATAAAAGAGAGGTGATAGGAGACAGTGCAGTGTTTTTTATACATATTGGAAGGAGATCTAGAATTAACAGGGAGGAGCGGGAAGATGAAGGAGAAATAAATATGGTTAAGATGAGATGTGCATACTAGTTAGCAAATTCTTAAATTACATCCATTTACCTGCAAATGTCTCAGGATTATTTTTATGGTAAAGTATATATGAATAAAATATTTTTAAAAAGGACCAAAGTGGCAAGAATCTTGCCACAAAGAAGATGGAACTGTATCTTTTTAACCCTATGTTTTGAAATTTCAAAGTATTTAGCAGTTTCATAGTTTAATAATTGTGATCACAGTGGTGATAGTAGTAATTGCAGCTTCATGAGTTAGAACTATAGTAAAATTATATGTACAAAATGTATTTTGTTTATTTCAACTTTAAACTCGCCATAGGCCTGAAAGTTACAGAAGAGAGTGACTGTCTTTTGTTTTGTTAAGTATACAAATTCTCTTTATCTCTGATGTTCTTTTCACAGACTTCAAAATAATTTCAGACCATCATGCTCTGATAATGATCCATAACTTGATATTTCCTATACTCATTATTCCTGATAAAATAGCTAAATCTTTTCTGGCCTTGAGCCTTCAAATAGGTTGAGTTTTCTTCTGCAGAGCCTGGTCTCAAACGTGGGATGGCCTCTCCAGGGACCAGGTCAGTAACATCCTCCTGAGATCACCTCAGCTTCTATGAAGAGTAAAGGAAAACAAGAGCTCCAGGCAGATTATGAGAGATGCTTAGCTCTTAATTTCTTTTGTATTCTAAAATCTATCAGCAAATATATTTTCCTTTATTGATTTTATATTCCTGCCAGATGTTTATCTGGGTAAGTTTCTTATCCATGTTATGGCAATGCATATAGCTAAGAATTCTTATTAGTAGAACATTTTAATAGTACAAAAGGTAGCAAATCGAATGTTCATAAAGCTGTATTTCTCAGTAACACAGCCTGATCACTTTCTTTTTCAAATCTAAGATGTCTGTTTGGTTGTTTTATGAACAATTTATGAGAAAGATTCACATCATTTAAAGATGGATGAGAAACAAATGTAATGAAAACTATCACTCTAATTACTATGAAGAAAACATAATAGAAAAAGGCTGTTGATTAGTAGCAAGATGAAAACAAGAATTGTATTCCAACTTAATTCCTATGAAAAATGATTATAATATTGCTTGGTTTATTAATTTTTTAAATAAGACATACTCTGAGTTTACAAGGTTGTGTGTGTGTGTGTGTGTGTGTGTGTGTGTGTGTGTTTGTGTGTGTGTGTGTGTGTGTGTGTGTGTGTGTGTGTGTGCTTAAACAGGAAGGCTTGATTGATATTGACAGATGATAAAATTAAATATTCTACTGTCTGTGACAGCATTGTTATGTGATTCTATTGCTATAGTGGCTAGAGTATGCTAAGCTGATTTTCCGTTCCCTTAAATCAGACCTTTTCTGTATTGGGGTCAATAATATCTTACATTTTTTATACATTTTCTGTGCTTTATCCTGTTTTCATTTACTTATATTTATGTCATTTTCCACCGCGAGACCAGAAAAAACACTTTCTGACTGGATTATGATGTAAAGCTAAATTGCACAAAATAACAGTAGATTTCTTGTCACCGAAGCAATTTTTAGTCAGTCTTCCTATTTATTATATTCCTACTGCCTTATAGAGGCAGTAGAGGCATGATTATTTTTCAGGTGTACTGGCCAAATTAGTTCAATACATTCAGTGTGTTTACTTAACCAACATATGCAGAGGGCTGAGACATTATGTGTCAGCCTCAACAGTGATCACTGTTTCTGCTTACATGAGTGTCAGATCTTACAGATTGGCTGGCCAAAATCATTCAGCTGCAGAAAATACATCTTATCATGAAGTTTTTAACCAATTCTTTCTTCAGAGATTTTTTTGCTCTTTGTATATTTATTTGATATTTCTGCAAGAAAGCAGTAGTGTTTCTGTTTTCTGAGAACTTCTTGGTATTTTTGACAAGCATTTTCTACCAGGCATTGATTGCTTCATTTTCTTGACCACCATATATAGTGTTAATTAGTCCTTCCCATAATCTAATGAATTAATTGGTATCATAATCATTATAGTGAGAAAAACAGTAAATCTAGTAGTGGATTTTATATTTCTAAATTTATTTCCTGTGTTTCTATATACTATACTATATAGAAGAAAATTAAAGAAATTGTTGAATTATTAGCTGTTATGACAGTTATTAGAGCTAATTTTTACTTATATTTCTTGTTGGATTACCAAAAAAAAATTGCAAATACATGATCTCCAAACTATTTTCCTTCTGCAGCTGTACAAGGTCTTGCATTTAACAGTTTATGTCACTAACATGATGCATTGATCCATCACTTTTAGGGAATTTATCAGTTATTCTACCGAACACTGACTGTTAACACTGGCTGTGAATTGTTCCATTTTTTCCTGTAATTTTACAAAACTTTTCCTTCCAGTTTCCTGTCAGAGGAAAAAAAAAGCCACATTCAAAGAAATACTCCTTAGTCAGTTGATGTCTTCAATTAATGTTGTGGTACAAAAATTTGAATAGTTTTAAGCTTGTAGAATTTTCCAGGAGAACCCTTACTTATATGTGATTATAGATAATGTTGTTTTAAGTTTTATTTGGTGGTTTTCCAAAGAAAGAGGTGAAACAAAATGTAAAAATGATCAGAAGTTTGGGGTAGATGTGAAGTGAGGCAGTATATCCAAAGTATCAGGAGTTATTTTCACTGCCAATTAAAATTAAAATAGAAAAAAGCACCTAAGTCGCACTGAGGTCCATTATAGTCCTTATCTTTGCATTGATAACCTAAATGTGATTGATCCATAGAGCTTATCCAATAGGCTAGGTATTTTGGTCTGCATGTTAATCCAGTTTACTGCCCCTTATTGATTTTCAACTTTCCTTTCTTTTCAGATCTCTAAGTATTTAAATCACTTTTCATTCCATTCGGCTAATACTCATGATACAATAATAACTATGCATCCAAAACAGTCACTACTGACAACAGAATCAACTAGAAAAATTCCTACAGGAACCTGAAAAATTGACCGGTCCATAAATAACTCAATCAATATCACCTAAAGGAGAAAACTCTTCAACTGATTTGGCAGTCAAGTATTAAACTGGGAAAAAATGTATTTTACAGCTGGAGCATGAGAATATAGGAATAATGAGCAAAACTGCAGTCTGAACATTCTGAAGTTTGAGTTGATGGAAACGGTTTGTGGGAC